AAAAAAACATTTATAAATTGCAGTAAATAAATAAGTAAATAAATAAATAAAACCTGTATCTCCCAGCAGTTGCATTCGTGAGTATTTGCATCAGAAAAATCAAAAGTTTCATTCTAGTAACAAGTTGTAAATAAGTGTTCATGGCAGCTTTGGTTGTAATATCGAAAAACTGCAGGGTAAATAGCTAAGCACACTATTTTGGATCATTCATTATCATAAGTTATTATCATCAATAAAGAGGGGTGAATCACCAGCTGATGCAGCAGTTGGCGGAGCACAAGGGCTGTGTCCATCAGCTTTCTCATCACTGAGACTCGGTACCTGACCCACGATTTGGAAGCGGGAGGGTTTAATTTGGCTCTTGGTGTTGGGGTCTCAGTCTGGGTAGTCAGCTGGCTCCAGGGCAGAAACATCATGGCAGAAGGGTACGGCAGTGCCGAGCGGCTGTTTGTGGTGGCCGGGAAGCGCTGTGCTTTCCCAGTCCCCTGGCAGCTCCTAAACCCGCCTTTTGACGCGATTAAGCTCAGCCACCGCAAGGGCTACAAGTTTAAGGAAGAAATGACCTAACCTCAAAAGTTTATTACTACCTAATGCCACTTGTTTAACTTCCTTTGGGGAAGGGAGGGTACCAGGAGCTGCTGGCCGTTGCTGAGCCACTGAGCCATCACCAGAAGCCCCTGTTCAGTATGCTTGAATCAGCTTTTCTGTGTGTGTCCCTGTGAGAAAGGGTGTCAAGTTCAGGCTGGGCTCGCGCTCACTGTGTAGCGCAGGCAACAGTCCTCTTGCTTCCGCTTCCACAGTGCTGGAATTACAGGCATGCGCCACCAGCCAGGCAGAGCCAACACTACGTGTGGAGAACACATTAAGGTGTGGGGATCAGAGAAGCAGCCACAGAAATGTATGGGCTGGGCTTTAAGGTGCATAATTGCACTCCTAGCTCTTTGGGAGGAAGAGGTGGGAGGATTGCAAGTTCAAGGCCAGCATGAACACTTACTGAGATGCTATCTCAAAACAAATATGCGGGCCCGGGGAGATGGCTCAGTGGAACAAGCACTTGCCTGGCAAGCGCAGGGCCTGAGTTCAATCCCCGGTTCTACCAAAAAAAAAAAAAAAATGAAGTCCCAAAAATATAGCTCAGTGGTAGTGCACTTAAGAGGCACAAGACCCTGAGTCAAATCCCCAGGACTGAAGAAAAGAAAAAGATACAAAACTCTTCCCTCACCACCAAACTCCCCTATATTGCATCTTACCTATTTTTTTTTTTTTTTTTTATGTATTTAGGGTCCAAGTGCTGAGATTACAGGCTCACGCCACCATGCCCAGTCTCATTACACAGCTCAAATTTGTGGTAATCCTGTTTCCAACCTCCCAAGTGCTAGGATTACTGGCACTTGCCACCACTCATTGGCAGTGTCAGCATGCCCTGGGTCATCATGCCCTGGGGGTGGGGCTGACATGTCGCTAATATCAAACTCCTGTCCCTGTGTCTGCCTAAGCAGGCACTTTAATCCACTGAGCTATCTCCCTGGCCCCCACATCTTATCTTAAAAAAAAAAATCTTTTTTAAAAATTTATTTTTGGGGGCTGGGGAGATGGCTCAGTGGAATAAGCGCTTCCCTGGCAAGCACAAGGGCCTGAGTTCAATCCCCGGTTCCGGAAAAAAAAAGAAAAAAAGAAAAAAAATTTTTTTTTAATTTGGTACAGGGTCTTGCTACACAGTTCAGACTTGTAGTGATCCTCCTGTTTTTCAGCCTCCTCAGCCCTGGGATTACAGGCGTGCGCCACCATGCTGGGTTTTAGTGGCTGACTCATGGTGCCTGGAGGCAGGGCTGGTACCAGCACAGTGTTCCCTGCACTTGCCTAAGCAGGCACTTAGTCCGCTGAGCTGTCTCATTGGCCTGAAACAAGGTCTTAATATGTTGCCCAGCCAAGCCTGCCATCCTGGCCCCACCCCCAGGGCACACTGAGACAGCGATCCAGACTGGGTGTGGCGGCGCACACTTGTAATCCCAGCACTTGGGAGGCTGTAAACAGGAGGATCACTGCGAATCAGATCCAGGTAGTGAGACCCTGCACACCCTGTCCTTAATATATAATATATATATTGCCCAGGCTGGTGACATTCCTGCCTCAGCCTCAAGTACCTGGGATTATAGGTGTGGGCCATCATGCAGCAAGGTTTATGTCTATTAAGTGTGCTTATGTCTGCACAAGTCTACATGTTATAAAATTGCGCAAAGCTGTAGGAAAGCACCAAGCCTTTTTTTTTGTTTGTTTTTTTTGTTTTTGTGGAACCGGGGATTGAACTCAGGCCCTTGTGCTTGCCAGGCAAGCGCTTATTCCACCGAGCCATCTCCCCGGTCCCAAGCCTTTTGAAATCTGAATAAGCCCTGTGGATTGGACCAGTGCCAGTTCGTTTCAAAGTTTTTAATTTTTTTTAAATTTTATTTAGTGTGTGTGTGTGTGGCCAGCTCAGCCCACCAGGGGGCGGGGCTGGCTGGCATGTGGTGCTGGGGGATTGAACCGCGGTCCCTGTGCTTTGCTAAGCTTGTTCTAAGTGGGTGCTTTAGACCACTGAGCCATCTCACCAGCCCCGACTTATTTATTTTTGAGACAGGGTCTTGCTGTGCAGTTCAGCTGGCCTGTGCTCACTTTTGTAGCCCCCAGACTGGTTGCAAAGCAGCAGTGATCCTCCTGTCTCAACCTCCTGAGTGCTGGGATTACAGAAATGTGCCATCATGCCCATTTCCAAGCCAGATTTCCAGGGCCTGCGCAGCGCGCCTGGGTTTCTGGGACTGTCAGGGAGCACCCGGGACTCTGAGGCTGGCAGGGTATGTGGGCCTGAGTGGGGATCAAACTCTGGATCTTGCACGCTTGCCAGGCAGGTGCTTATGCCTGCCTCCCTCTGAGGTATCTCCCAGCCCGAGACTTACAATTATTTAAAATATGTTTAGAGGGCTGGGGAGATGGCTCGGCAGTCTAAGCGCCTGCCTGGCAAGTGCAGGGACCCAGGTTTGATCCCCAGTACCCCATGCTGTGCTGGCCTGAAGCAGCATGGTGGCACACGCCTGTAATTCCAGAGCTGGGGAGGCTGGGACAGGAGGATCACTAGGCACCCGAGCTGCGTAGCGAGACCCTGTACCACACACATAAATAAATTTTACACACACACACACACACACACACATGTATGTGTGTATGTTTACAGTCAGTATGCAGTGTGATGAACTTGTGGGAGCCAGCAGTTGTGATGCTGATGTGCCCTTCCCCTGCGGGCCTGTCTCTGCGTCTGTGAGTCTGGTGCTAGACTCAATTGTTAGTCCTCTGGGTATCAAGCTCCATAATTCTCTGAGTTTACATAACTTTTTTTTTTTTTTTTTTTTTTTTTGGCAGAACTGGAGATTGAACTCAGGCCCTTGCACTGGCCAGGCAAGCACTTATTCTACTGAGCTGTCTCCCTGGCCCCCCTACATATCTTCTTGAGTGGCTTTATATACTACATTATTTTATCATTAGGAATTAAGCAGAAATGAGTAGTTGGGAGTTGCTTAGATTTAGAAAGTCCGTGATCTAGTTGCTCCCTGGCATTTTCTTTTTTTTTTTTTTTTACTCAATCTAGTGAGGCAAATATAGTGTGTTGCCTTCCATCCCAGTGTTCTTCCACACACTTCTTGGTCTTGTGTCGCAGACAGGCACTGTGTGGCAGGTTAGCTCATGAGAGTCCCAGATTTAAATCATATGTTAGCATTCCCTGAGAAAGAAAGTGCCAGGCTCCCAGATGGCCCTGGCCTGCATGGGACGTGGGCATCATCCCTCAGGTGGACATTGGGACCACGGGAGAACCCTTTGGGATTAGGCTGGTTGTGTGGTTATGTCTCAGGCCAGGAAGGGAGTTGAGGAGGTGTGGACAGGTGGACACTCACCAGAAGAGAAGACATTTGTTGGGCACAACAAAACAGCAAGCAGGAAAGATCGAAAACAGCAGAAAGCCACCAAAGCAGCAAAGCTCGGTTTGTTAAAGAAAACAGTTTGAGGGCCGGGGAGATAGCTCAGGGGGCCGAGGAGATTGCTCAGTAGAATAAGCGCTTGCCTGGCAAGTGGAAGGGCTTGAGTTCAATCCCCAGCTCCGAGAAAAAAAAAAAAAACAGTCTGAACAAGGTCGATGTCATGGAAGGTGCACTGCTTCTGCCCTAAGCTGCCTTTGGCACTCTGCAGGTTGGATCTGTTCTTTGTCTAGAAGAGATGGCACTGATTTTACCATGTTAAAATCTTAATTCTTTTCCTACCTCCTGTCTCAAGGACAAACAGGAGTCCCAGCATACAGAATCTAAAGCGCTGAAATCCTCACGTGGGAACAGTGTGGAAGTCTGCATCCGGATGTACGAACTGGTACACAGAATGCGTGGCACAGTAAGTGACCCCATGACATATGGCAGGCCTGGCTGGAGGGAGCCACATTTTATTGGGGTTCTCCAGGGCGTAGGAATGCCTGCTGTACTGACCATGGTGTCCCACCCACCAGGACTCACTGGGGGCAGTCGTATAACATAGAAGTCAAGCCAGGTATGGTGACCCATGGCTGTAATCCCGACACTGTGAAACTGAGGTGGGAAGATCAAGAGTTTGAACCTGGGACCAGGGAGATGGCTCAGTGGAATAAGCGCCTCCTTGGCAAGCGCAAGGGCCTGAGTTCAATCCCTGGTTCTGCAAAAAAAAAAAAAAGAAAAGAAAAGAAAAGGGTTAGGGATTTAGTTCAGTGTGAAGGCCCTCTCTTCAATCTGTAGTACTGCCAGAAAAAAAATAGAGACCTAGAGTCAGCACTCCGAAGTCAAATATTGTTTCATGTATTAGCTTTTCTGTTTCACATGTAATTTTTCAGAAAATTACTTAGGCTTTTCTGGGTTCTGTTTACTTCTCCAAAAGTTCGAGATGGTCTTGAATTATCAGACAAAGTTACGGTATAAAGATGAGGCTTCAGCCAGGAGTGGTGACACGCACCTGTAATCCCAGCACCTAGGACAGGAGGCTGAAGCAGGAGGATCACCATGATTCTGAGGTGAGCCTAGTCTACACAGTGAGTGACTGCCACAAACTTGCAGGATTCCTCCTTTCTCATCTTCCCAAGTTTTGAGACCACAGGCATTTCATTTTCTTTCTTTTTTTTTTTTTTTTAAAGATTTATTTATTTATTTATTTGGTACAGGGTCTCAATACACAGCTTGGACTCATGGTGATCCTCCTGTCTCAGCCTTCCCAGCGCTGGGATTACGGGTGTGCACGACCATGGCTAGTTCCAGTGGCTGGCACAGCGGAGCTGGCACTGCATGGAGTACCAGGAACTGAACCCAGGTCCTTGCACTTGCCAGGCAGATGCTTAGACTGCCAAGCTATCTCCTTGTCCATTTATTTCTTTTTGAGGCAGGATCTCACTATATTGCCCAAGTTAGCCCCAGACTTCTGGGCTCAGTAATTCTCCTGCCGCAGCCCCCATGATGAGCCATGTGTTCTTTTTCAGAGCATTGCTGTCACATTTCATGTCATTCTAGAGTTCTTTTTTGAGATTCACTTGTGTCCTTAGAAACACTTTTTCTTGAGGTTCATCATTTTCCATTTGTTTTCCTTGATCTCCTTGTACAAGGTAGAGATTCCACACATATTTAAGATTACTACTGAAGGGCTGGTGAGATGGCTCAGTGGTCTAAAGCACCTACTTAGAACAAGTTTAGCAAAGCAAAGGGACCACGGTTCAATCCCCCAGCACCACATGCCAGCCCGCCCCGCCCCCTGGTGGGCTGGGCTGGACACACACGCACACACACACACACACACACACATAAATAAATTAAATAAATAAATAAATTAAAAAAAAAAAAAGATTACTATTGAAAAAAGAAGGATGGTTATTACCAGCAGGTGCAGTATGTTGCACACCTGTAATCCCAGCACTTGGGAGGCTGAGGCCGAAAGTCTGCTGTAAATTCGAGGCCAGCCTGGGCTACATAATGGGTTCAAGCCCGTCCTGAACTACACAGCAAGATCTTGTACCAAAACCCCCCACAAAATACAAAGATGAATATTTATCAGTGGTCACACCACGGTTCAAGTAGCATAATCAGACCAGTGTAATTATGCTCCTGTGCACCACGATTGTGGAGTAACTGTCCAGAAAAGCAGTGCCTAGACCAGAGGACATGCTCACGTCTGCACAACCCCGCGCCCTTCCCTTCTTTCTCTCTCCCCCTCCCCTGTCTTCTTCCTTCCTTACAGAACTCTCCATTTTCATTTTAGTGTTTTTAGAACTTGTTTTAGCTAGGAATATGCATCACCACGTGACTGTCCCAAGCCTCGTGGCTCTATGCAGCTGGCTTTCCTTACTGTCTCACATCAGGGCCCTTCGCCCCAACCAGGAAGCTTCCATGTGGGGTTACTGAGGTTGTAGTGGCTGAGGTTGGGGTCTGCACAGTGGCTTCCCTGTCTGGCATTTGAGGTGCGCTGCGACCTCTGTCGTGTCTGTGTCCTGAGCTTCCTCAGCATTGTTGTCAGGTTTCAGAACCAAGGATCCTCTTCCAGGTGTCGTGTTCATGGCTGTCATACCAGCTGTCAGGGCTGAGCTAGGTGGATCAGAAGTTTCAGGCCAACCCAAGCTGCATAGGGAATTCTAGACCAACTTGAACTACAAAATGTGGCCCTGTCTCAAAAAATATAAGGGGAGGGCCAGGGAGATAGCTCAGCAGCATAAACGCCTGCCTGGCAAGCACAAGGTCCTGAGTTCAATCCCCGGTAACAGGAAGGAAAGAGGGAAGGGATGGAGGTGGGCAGGTGGCAGGCGGGCAGGTGGGCAGGCAGGCATGCAGGCATCCTAAGAGAAATTGGCAGAGTTGCAGTTCCCTTTGAACCTAGCCTCAGAAATCTTGTGCGGCATATTAGTTGCGTTCAGTTCGCCATGGTGGTTATAAAGGCTGCGAGGCTTGAAGACGGGAAGAGCGAGTGACAAAGAATTCCAGGTGCTTTAAAAGCATAGCACAGATGCCTTGGTCTTGCTGAGTGGTCTGTTGACCGGAGTTGGTGGCACGAATTAGCAGTTTTGTCAGCACACACTCAGTTCATTCTCTGGCCTGCCTAAGAGGCCACTACACATCAGACCTGGTGTTTCCGATCTCCGGTGCGCCCACCGCCGCCACCGCCGCCATAGCAGTTACGTGCACACACATGGACGCACAGGTGGGGTGCTTCCGTGCGCAGGCACGCACCCCGCTGCATCCTGGGATTGTCCAGCTCCGCTGTCTCCTACTTCTTCACCTACTTCCTGCTTTGCAGACATGCGCAGCAGGCCTTGCCTATGGTATGCCCTGCTACTCCGTTGCATCTCTAGTCTTTCTGAAACAGGTTCGCACTCTAGCTCAGGCTGGCCTTGAATCTTGAACTTGCAGTGACCCTCCTGCTTCAGCCTCATGAGTGCTGGGATGGCAGGCGCGTGTTCCACCGTGCTGTGTCTTCCTTATTTGCCATCCCCCACTCAGGAAGTCTCAGAGGAGCAGACAGAGGTGGCTTGTGTTCGTTTCTTACACTGAATGCTTAACATAAGTTTCAAAATAAAGTGATATAATCACTTGTTTCTCTTTAATGTGGCGCCAAGTGGCCCCCGTGCCTCCTGTGTGCTGGGCACTCACCTGAGCGCCCTGAGTGTCCGCACTTCGGCTGCATGGGGTTTTGATTCCCTTGTCCCCAGGTCGTGCCCTTGTTTGACTGCATGGCCGTGGGCAAGGCTGAAGGGAACATCTGTGTCTGGATCTTTGTACTTGGGTGTGAGTTTTTCCTCAGAATGAATTCCTAAACTGGAACTGGTGTCAGAACAAATACAGTATAAATTCTGATAAATGCTAGATGGCCCCCACACCCGTGAGAGTGCCCTCCTGCAGAGAAATGCAGGCACCCTGGTGTGTTTTTCTTAGTGTAAGGAAAGGGGCTCTGTTCAGTGGAGGTGTGGGAGTGGCTGGCAGTAAGGATACAAGAACAATGTGTTTACAAAACTACAATAGGGGCTGGGGAGGTGGCTCAGTAGAATAAGTGCTTCCCTGGCAAGCGCACGAGTCTGAGTTCAATCCCCGGTGGTGGCGCAGCCTGTAATCCCAGCACTCAGGAGGCTGAGGCAGAAGGATTGCTCGAGTTTGAAGCCAGCCTTGGCTACAAAATGTGTGCATGGCCAGCCTGATGTGCATGGTGAGACCCTGTCTCAAAAAAAAGAAGAAAAAAATAGAATAAACGTTCCTATAGCTTGTTGTGAAACTCTCAGAGAGCGGGGCGCAGAGGCACATATGCCTAATCCTAGCTGCTCTGGAGGCTGAGGCAGGAAGATGGCAGGTTTGAGTCAGGTGAATGAATTAGAGAGACCGTGCCTCAGAAGGGCCGAGGTATAGTTCAGGATCCTTGGGTTCAATCTCCAGTAGCACACACCTAAATGGGAGCTTAAAACTGCAGGGTTGGCTTGCTGTGGTGACACGTTGTAATACCAGGACTCTCTGAGGCTGAGGATCCCAAGTTCAAAGCACACCGACGCCACTTAGTGAGACCGTCAAAATAAAACACACCAAAAAGGGGGAGAGTGCTGGAATTGTAACTCATTATCAAGATGATAGTAGGTTCTGTCACCCGTATGCAAAAAAGGGGGGGGGGCTTAAAGCCAGGTTGCTGGGCATAATTCTAGCACACAGAATCTGAATTCAAGGCCACTCTGGGATACATAGCAAGACTGTGTATCAAAAAAAAATATAGGGCCAAGGGTCAGCCAGATAGCTCAGCAGATGAAAGTGCCTACCTAGGTAGACACAGGGATGGGGTTCAATCCCTCATGTGCTGTGCCGGCCCTGCTCCCTGGGGCACGTGCTGAGACTGGGCATGGTGGCGCATGCCTGTAATCCTAGCACTTGGAGGGCTGAAAACAGAATCACTACGAGTCCGATCTATTCAGTGAGATCCTATAGACCCTGCACTAAATACAAAAAATTAAAATAGGGGCTGGGGAGATGGCTCAGTGGAATAAGCGCTTCCCTGGCAAGCGCAAGGATCTGAGTTCAATCCCTGGTTCCGCCAAAAAAATAAAAAATAAAAATAAAATACAAGGGCCGGGGAGATAGCTCAGTAGAATAAATGTTTGCCTGGCAAGCACAAGGGCCTGAGTTCAATCCCCGGTTCCACAAAAAATAAAAAAAAAATAAAAAAATAGGGTCAGGAGTATAGCTCAGTCGCACAGTGCCTACCTGGCCAGTGCAAGCTCCTGAGTGAGTCTGATTCCTCACTCAGGAGTTTGAGATGCACCTGTTTAATCCTCAGTACTAAAGAAAAAAAATAGCATACAGTGTCTGATAGCACATTTCTAAGTGCCTGTCTTTCTAGTGCATACTCGAATGATAACACATGGGGCAGACCATAAAGGTGTACCCACAAGCACGGGCCCCAGGGGCCCTCATGATCTCTGAGGGGAGGGTCACCAAGGACAGAGGAGCTTGTTGTGGGCACAGTCCCAGGGGAGGGTGCTGTCTTTCAGGAGGGCTTGCGGCAGTGGCAGGAGGAGCAGGAACAGAAGGTGCGTGCCCTGTCAGAGATGGCGTCGGAACAGCTGAAGCGCTTTGACGAGCTGAAGATGCTGAAGCAGCACAAAGAATTCCGGGAGCTGCAAGAGGTGATGGAAAGGAGGTGAGCCCCAAGTTGTGCTGGGAGGAAAGAGCTGAAGTCCTCTGCGCTGGCGGGGCAGCTTCTGACTGGCAGTAGCTCGTGCAGGCCCGTGAAGGAGCCTTGAGAGGCGCCCAGGCCTAGCAAGCACCCCGCCCCATCCTCTCTACTGTTTCCACGCAGCACCAGAGAAGCCCTGGGCCAGCAGGAGAAGCTCAAGGCGGAACATCACCACAGAGCCAAGGTCAGTGGCGAGAGGTAGGGCTTGGGCAGAACCTGCCTGAGGGGTTAGGTTTGCAGCCCTGCCTCTGTGACCTGCCTTGGGGGTCCCAGTCCCGTCTGAGCCGATCTAGGCTGGAGTCCTGGTGACCCTAGCTGGCCCCACGCAGATTCTCAACCTGAAGCTGCGTGAGGCTGAGCAGCAGCGCCTGCGCAAGGAGGAACAGGAGCGGCAGCGAAAGGAGGAAGGCCAGGGCCGCCTGCGGAGCCTCTACGCCCTGCAGGAGGAGGTGTTGCAGCTCAACCAGCAGCTCGAAGCCTCCGCTTCCAGTGCTTCGGACCTACACAGAGACCTGCTGCAGGTCGACCTGGCAGCCTTCCGCACCCGAGGCAACCAGCTGTGCAGCCTCATCTCCAGCATCATCCGCACCACCTCAGAGGTGAGGGCCCTTGGGGACTCCTTTGTCGTTGGAGTGGGGGCTGAAAGGGCAGTGTGTTTTCTAACTGAAAAACGGGGCCCAGGAGATGGCTCAGTGGAATAAGCGCTTCCCTGGCAAGCACAAGGGCCTGAGTTCAATCCCTGGTTCTGCCAAAAAAGAAAAAAGAAAACAAAAGCAGGACCTGGGCTGGGGGTGCTGCCCAGAGCGCTCACCTGGAGTTCGCCAGGCTGAGTTCTACACCACCCCCACCAGGAATGCCTTCTTCCTGGAGGAAGCAGTAGTAACTTCTGTCATTTCCTTCCTTGCCCAGAGACAAATATAGTGACATATTTGTATGGTTTGTTTTCTGCATTTCTTATTTTATGTCTTAGGTTAAAATACTTTGTTTTTAGCCAGGTATGGTGGTGCACACCCATAATCCCAGCTCTCAGGAGGCTGGGGCAGGAGGGTCACTGTAAGTTTCAGACCAGCTTGTGCTCTGTAGTGGGTTTAAGGCCAGCTTGAACTGTATAGCAAGACCTTGTCTCAAAGAAAAAGAAAAGAAAAAAAAATTGTTTCTAGCTAGGAATGGTGGTTCATGCCTAATAATCCCAACGCTCAGGAGGCTGAGGCAGGAGGATCACCATGAGTTTGAGGCCAGCCTGGGCTACAAAGTAAGCTCAAGACCACCCTGGCTTGAGTTGTGGGGATCGAACCACAGCAACCTGAGCCTGACTGCTTTGTTGAAGCAGCCACTTAAAGAACTGAGCTAAGGGGCAGGCCCCCAAGACCAACCTAAATTGTATAGCAAAACACTATCTCAGAATGAATGAATGAATGAATGAATGAATGAATGAATGAATGAATGAATGAAATTTGAATGACTGGATTAATAATATTTCTGAAACTTCCATAAAGTAAGGTATGAAATTTGCCCAAAGATATATTGAGCCATCTTCAGATGAGTAGTGATGGAGGACTTGTGTTAACCGATACAGACACGGTTCTGGAAGTAAAGTGAAAGCAGTTTGTTCTTGCCAAGGCGTAGACAGCAGGGCTAGTGGAAAGAAATAGCAAGCCCAGGAGGAGACGGGTTGTTTGGTAGGTAACTGACACATACTTGTGCTTTGCTTGATAACAGGGACACCTGAGAAGATTGTTAAGGCAATTTGATAGTTGTGCAAACATCATCGAGTGCATTCCACAAACATAGGGGGGTGTCATTAGCTGATGGGATCTTATTGGACCACTCTTGCCTATGCCGTCCATCTTGGACAGAACCATCATTATGTGGTGCCTGGATGAAGAGCACCACTTGACGTCGGTGTGTGTGGAGATATGTCGTAATGGCTTTAGTGCTGGTGATCAGACCTAGGCTTTCCATGTGTTAGGCAAGTGCTGTGCCACTGAGTTATAACCCCAGCTAAGAGCATTTGGTATCTACTAGGGAAGGGCTAGGAGGGCGTCTCTCTGTGAACAGTTGGTGCAAGAGTCAGAACTGAGGGTGTAATTTAGTGGATAGCACTTGCACCTCTCACGCTCAAGGCCTTTGGCTCCTTCTAGCACTGCAAAAACAAAAGGAAGGAAAAAGGAAACCCAAACCATGTATATGCTCTGTGTGTGTGTGTGTGTGTGTGTGTGTTTTGGCTGAACCAGGGGTTGCACTCAGGCCCAGTCAAGTGCTTATTCTACTGAGCCATCTCCCCAGCCCGTGTGTGTGTGTGTGTGTGTGTGTGTGTGTGTGTGTGTGTGTTGGTGTAACCGGGGATTGAACTCAGGCCTCAGGCCCTCGCAGTTGCCAGGGAAGTGCTTATTCCACTGAGCCATCTCCCTGGCCCCATGTGTGTATTTTTTTAAGGTGTTTGATACAAGGTCTCGCTACACAGCCTAGACTCCTAGTGATCCTCCTGTTTTCAGCTTCTCCGGCGCTGGGCTTATAGGCGTGTGCTACCACACCCAGTCTTGGCAGCCAGCTCAGTGAGCCTGGGGACAGGGCTGGCATGGCATGTGGTGCCAGGGATCAAACCCTGGTGGTCCCTGCGCTTACCTAAACAGGTGCTTAGTTCTCAGAGCTATCTCGCCAGCCCTTAAAGATATATTTTGAAACCTATTTCTGGGGTGGATTTCAGTGATAGACTGCCTGGTATTGGCAAGGCCTGTGTTTGATCCCCAGCACTACAAAAACATAAAAAAATCAGTGAAGGAAAGATGAATTATATAGAGAATTGATACATAAAGATTGAATGTATGCCATACTTCACCTTATCCCATGTTTCTTAGATATTTAAATTTAAGACAATAAGGTATAGAGACTCTGTACGCATAGCAATAAAAGTAAATCATGGGGGGCTGGAGAGATGGCTCAGTGGTCTAAAGCACCTACTTGGAACAAGCTTGGCAAAGCTCAGGGACCCCCAGCACCACATGCCAGCCAGCCGTGCCCCCTGGTGGGCTGAGCTGGCCACACACACACACACACACACAACACACACACACACACACACACACACTAAATGTTAAAAAAAAAAATTAAAAAGTAAATCATGGGCTGTGCATATAGCTCAGCAGAACAAGCACTTGCCTGGCAAGTGCAAGGTCCTGAGTTCAGTACCCCCCTCCAAAAAAAATAAGGAAAAGTCGTTATGAAAACATAAATGTTCAGAATATTGCAAATTAGGAAACATTTATAACATACATAGAAGAACAAAATTTAATGTCCCTGGTACAAACTTGTAAGAAATGACTGGCCAGTGTCACTGTCAGCATGGAAGCTGTAGCGTAGACACCTGGGGTGCAGCAGTAGATCTTACAGTGCACAGGAAGCGGCGCTGTGAACCTGTCAGATGCAGGTGCTCCGAGTGCAGGTGCTACACTGGCCCAGCTGCATCAGGCCAGAAGTACCTCGCCTTGTGTGGGGTAGGGTTGAGCCAGCAGGGGCCTCTGGGGGCTGAGTGCCGTGCCCCATGTCCCTCTGCAGAGTGGCTACCCTACAGCGGAGAACCAGGCTGAGGCTGAGCGAGCCCTGCATGAGATGCGGGACCTGCACACCGCCCTGGGCCAGGAGATCAGCAGAGCCTGCAGGGACAAGAGGCAGGAGGAGGAGGAGGCCCGGGCCAAGCTCCGCGAGTCACAGACGCAGCAGGGGCTGGGGGCCACTCCTCCGGCCCCAGGCCCCAGCCAGAGCCCAGGCAGGATGCGGGGTGAAGGTGGGTGTGGTATGGACACAGTCCTTGATTCTAGCAGCTGCATTATTCCCAGTATCGCTGGTTTTGAGTGTTTTGGGAATATAGGTGCACATATATGTGATGTCCACTTGTGTGTGTAAGAAGCAGTAGAGCACAGTGTGTGGAGCTGGGCTCCGGAGCCCAAGCAGGGAAGTCTGGTTTTATTTCTGAGCACTGTCCCCATGGCGAACCTTTCCTTGCTGGTTCCTTTATCCGTATCGTCGAGCTAATGCCAATACCTGTTCGCAACGTTAACTGCAATCATGAAAACGGCTCCCTCGTGAGAGGGCGCGAGTGCCACCCCAGCCTCTGTAACAGGCTGCTGAAGTCTGTCTGTGCTGCCCAGGCCTCCAGGTGAAGGTACAGGAGAGCACGATGCAGTGGTACCAGCAGCTGCAGGATGCTGCTGCTCAGTGCGTGTCGGCCTTCGGGGGTCTGACCAGCAGCAAGGACACCCAGGTGAGGAGCAGAGGGCGGCAGAATGGCGGGCCAATCCTCAGGGCATCTGCGTGGCCTTTCAGAACGCTCTGCCTTCTCACTGTTCTCCTCTGGTAGACCAAGAAGATAAAGATGGACCTGCAGAAAGCCGCCACCATCCCTGTGAGCCAGATCTCCACCATTGCAGGTGGGTCAGGAGGTCGGGAAAGCGAGCCTTCGCTCCGGGTCTCAGTATTGCAGACATGGTACAACTGAGCTGCAGCTAAGGTTCCTGTGAAACACCTTTCGGGCCAGGGTGCTGCTCAGTGTAGAGCCCTTGCCTGGCACACGCAAGGCTGTCGCAGCCAGCGCCAGCACCACAAGAGAGAAGAAGAGTACGTTCGAGCCAGTGCTGGGGGCTGCTGCATCAGCTGTGTAGAGCCTGGCTTCCTCCCGTTTCTTCGGTGCCTAGGTGGTAGAGTAATCACTGTGTTTGTTGATTTTTCTTTTTTTGTGGGTACTCAGGATTGCAACCATGGCCTTCACACAGATCTACATCCTTTTTTACTTTGAGACAGGGACTCACTAAGTCACTATGCTGCCCAGGCTGGGCTCCATTTCCTGGGCTCTGTCATGCCTGCCCAGAGACTGATTTTTTTTTTTTTTAATGTATTTAGTATAGGGTCTCACTACGCAGCTCAGACTCATAGCGATACTCCTGTTTTCAGCCTCCCCACCTCCCCAGTGCCAGGATTACTGGTGTGCGCCACCACACCTAGTCTCAGTGGCCGGCTTGGCACACCCGAGTACGGGGCTGGCACAGCATGTGGTACCAGAGATTAAACCCCGGTCCCTGCACTTGCCTAAGCAGGCACTTTGTCCACTGAGCTATCTCGCTGGCCCCAATGACTGATTTTTCAATAAGCTATGTACTAATAAATTTATGTATGTGTATGTATATATTTGGTTTTTGAGACATAGTTTCGCTGCATAGTTCAGGCTGGCCTTGAACTCACTCTGTGGCTTGGGCTGGCCTCAAGCTAGCAGTGATCCTCCTGAGTGCTTGGATTACTGGCAGTAATAGTAAATTATGTAGGACAACTCTTTTTTTTTTTAATTTATTTGTGTGTGTGTGTGTGTGTGTGTGTGTGTGTGTGGCCAGCTCAGCCCACCAGGGGGCGGGGCTGGCTGGCATGTGGTGCTGGGGATTGAACCGCGGTCCCTATGCTTTGCTAAACTTGTTCTAAGTAGGTGCTTTAGACCACTGAGCCATCTCACCAGCCTTGTAGGACAACTCTTAATGTACACTTGATCTTAGCCAAAAGGCCAGAGAAGCAACTTTTAAATGTAAAATTGACAGTTAACTGCTACAAAATGAAGTAAACGTCAGACTGGTCTTTGCTTTTGTTGCAAACAACTTTTTCAAGGCCATGCTTGCCACCTTTTTCCTCTTCTGAGGCATGGTCTCACTGTAGTCTAGGCTAGCCTCAGACTCACAGCAACACTCCTGCTTCAGCCTCCTGAGCACCGGGATTATAGTTTGTACCATTATGTCCGGTACACATTGATAATTTAGGACTAGCCAGGTGTGGTGGTGCACACTGTCATCCCAGCACTCAGGAGGCTGAGGCAAGAGGATTGCTGAAAGCTTGAGGCCAGCCTCGGCTACATAGTGAGTTCAGGAGCAACCTGAACTGTACAGTGAGACTGTCTCAAACCACCAAAAGAAAAAAAAAAGGTCATTTAGGACAGGCCACATTGATACTTTCCAGAGACCGATATGCAGAGAGGCCCTCCCTAGGGTTATTTTTAACGCAGCTCTAACAATGCCTCTTAAGTACCGACTGTCACTACGGGCCAGGGAAGCAGCTCTCACCACGGCCCAGTGCCTCATTAAGTGGTCGCCTAAATGGCACAGGAAGTTGCAGTTAAAGGTGATAGGTCACAGGACAGAGCTACCCGTCATCTTGTTTAGAGTTCTTTCTGGTTTTTTGTGGTACCAGAAATTGAACTCAGGCCCCTACGCTGGCCATGCAAGCGCTTATTCTACTATAGAGTTCTTCCTGGAACAAGGCACAGGATAAATACATAAGCACATGGCTTGGTGGCATTCAAAGCACCTCTGATGTGACAGCACACCCTCCTCTCCTGTCCTTTCCCTTGTTCAGCAGGACATGACAACACAGGGCAGCTGGAAGGCCTACAGCCCGCACGGCTCTGCTTGCTCCACTGTACCCTTCCACCCTGCCCTGCTCCTTCTCCCGGGAACACCTGGTCTTTCCCGGCCTTTCTTGTTGAAGCAGTCCCTGCCCGCCAGGCTGTTTCCTCAGCCTTGAAACATGCAGGCGCCACGCACATCCTGGCAGATTTGCCACTCCTGCTTTTTCGTCTTTCTCACTTTTCCACTTGGCATTGTCAGCCTCCCCCTTTTCCATGAGACTCCTGCCAGGCGCAGATGTGGTGGTGCACGCACGCCTCTTGTCCCAGCACTCTGGGAGGCTGAGCCAGGTGGATCACAAGTTTGACCCCAGCTTGGGTAACTTACTGACCTTGCAAGACACTGTTGCAAAAATTATTTTTTAGGGGCCAGGAAGATGGCTCAGTAGAATAAGTGTTTGCCTGGCAAGCGCAAGGGCCTGAGTTCAATCCCCGGTTCCGCAAAAAAAATAAATAAATAAATAAAACTTAAAAAATTTTAAATCGTTTGTTTGTTTGGTACAGGATCTTACCACATAGCCCGGACTCATAGTGCTCGTCCTGTCTCAGCCTCCCCAGTGCTAGCATTGCAGGTGTGCACTACCATACCCAGTCTTGGTGGCTGGCACAGTGTGCCTAGGGTTCTGGGGCCAGCACAGCATGTGGTACTGAGGATCGAACCCACATCCTTGGCACTTGCCAGACAGGCACTTAGACCAATGAGCTACCTACCCAGCCCCAAGAAATATTTTTTTTAAAAAATATTTATTTATT